TGCCAGCAGGTCTAAAATTAAACACAGTAACTTGCCATTTTCTTCCACCCAGGCTCTTATGTTCCTCTCATCACCGCAATGTTTAGCACCTTCCAGCAGTGCAGTGAGCAATGTGGCTAATGTCGGCCCATGTGGTTGGGAGGGGGAGCCGTATTACTCTGTTTCAGCAAAAACAACAAGGAGTCAGTGGCACCATGAAGACTAACAAATGTATTAAGCCATAAGTTTGTGAGAGACAACTCACTTCTTCACATTCTTGAAGAGAAAGAAAGGAAGGGATATAGATATGGGCATGATAGTAAAATCATGCTAATTAGATTACAATTAATTAAATATGTTTGGATCTTTCTTAGACTCTTCTCTGGGGATGTTCCTCATGAAACTCTGTAAAAATCTTGAGTTTTCCCCTGTGAGGTCTGTTATTATGACCCTTGTAATACAGATGGGGAAACTGAGGCACAGAGTGGCTGACCTGACTTGCCCAAGAAGCATGTGGCAGAACCAGATCTCCCAAGTGCATGTTTTAACTATATTTGTAGCCCATTTCACAACTTTGATGTGCAATTTGCATTCATGATGTATCCCTGCCATGTAAGAGGATAAACTTCCATGCTAAGATCGGGAAATCTGTATTTACTCATGCCATCTCTAAGCACTTCTGGATGGCCCTGTGAGATCCTACAAAGATCCAGAACATTCTAGGAGATAATGAAAAACGTATCCACATATGGAACACCTGAAACATCTGACTTCAACATTCTGTTTTCCCTTTTGTCACTAACAACAAAAACAGTACCCCAAGCTTGGTGCCCCACAAGCTCAACGCCACAGTCACCTGCTGCTGAATCGGGCTCTGCCCATAACACAGGCCAGCTGCATCCTCCATGCCCGAGGGCAGCTTTCCTAACCCTCTCACAAAGCCGCTCCCTACTTTCCCCATACACCTGCTTTGAACACAGGAGGATCTGTGGCTGTCGAGACTCTTAAAAAACCCACTAGGTAAGGGTCTGTTCTTTCCCTGGCTACCTAGGACAGAGAAAGAGCAGAGGCTGCAATGTTCAAGGACTTTTACATCTGAGCAGCATTAACCCTTTCCTCACCACAGCTGCACACTCCTGTCTTGCTACCCGAATGGCGATCAGCAAACAAAGGGTTGTGATGCCAGGGGCAGAGAACCGTGCTGCAAGAGGTAAATCTAGGGGCACGTGCACACGCCCAATACTGATTTATTGAACGGGCTCTGGCACCCAGTTACACACACGGCAAGGACTTGTATGCTATTGAGGTGGGTCTGGATGATAAACCCAGATCCAAATACCCACAGAGGCTGGGGATGTTCAGGTTAGGATCTGACTTTAGTAGCTGTCTTAAACTTAGTGAGTCTTAGAACATAAAGTTGAGTTAATTTTATTTGCCTGATGGGTTTTGAGCTTTTTCACTCTACATTTTCAAGCTGGCCTCCTTGGCTGTGTCTACACTGGGCCACTTATTCCGGAAAAGCAGCTGTTTTTCCGGAATAAGCTGCGAGCTGTCTACACTGGCCCCTTGAAAAGCAGTGACGATTTACTGTAAGAAATCAGATGCTTTTCCGGAAAAACTATGCTGCTCCCGCTCGGGCAAAAGTCCTTTTTCTGGAAAACTGTTCCGGAAAAGGGCCAGTGTAGACAGCACAGTAGTCTTTTCCGCAAAAAAGCCCCGATCGCGAAAATGACAATCGGGGCTTTTTTCCGGAAAAGCATCCGTGGCCAATGTAGACGCTTTTCCGGAAAAAGGGCTTTTCTGGAAAAGCATCCTGCCAATGTAGACGCTCTTTTTCCGGAAATACTTATAACGGAAAACTGTTCCGTTTTAAGCATTTCCGGGAAAAGGTGCCAGTGTAGACACAGCCCTTAACTATAAGGGCTAGAAATTCATTTTCAGTTTTGAAATGGAAGCTCACGCTCTCCTGTAATCACAGGACTCCAGGAGCTGAGGCATGGTGGGTGGGGCCTCTCCATAACTCCTCCTCTAGGGACAAATCCTACCTTAATCCATAAGGTCTGGCCACTGATTTGGAGCAAATCAGTGTCACGTTCTTGACAGCCGGATAACAAAATAGAGTCAGGACTCAACTGTTTGCACTTTTGTGCAAAAACCCAAACGTCACAGGCAAGCACTTAGTTGCCCCACTCAAAGGCAAAGGCCTCGCCCAGCTGTGGGGCCCTGGACTAGCAGTGAGCAACACCTCCTCTGTTTCAGTCTCCCCTTCTTTCCCGAGGAGAAGCCGGCAAGCTTTCTTAGCTGATCGGCTGGCTGGATTGGTCGGCATTTCTTTCAGGCCCTTCTAGACCTCTGGAGGACTGTCTTGTTGCTAGCCTGCTTTGAGTGGATTTTCCTTGGGGGGGGGGAGGAGTCAGGGAGCCAGCAGCTCCAGCTGGGGGGCAGGAAAGGCCTGAGAAACCCCCTCACACGGGTATTTAAGAAAAACACCAAATATCTCAAGATGGGAAATGGAATCATAAGAATTGGCAGTGCTGGTGGTTTCATACGATCTGGGTACGTCTATACTGCAAAGATCTTATGGCAGCATACGGGGAACATTCACGACACCACCACACACACATTCCCCTCCCCCCCCCCCCCCACC